TAGGTTTTTCAAAGATGCTTTTTATACCATTGAGAGAGTTCCCTTTTATTCTTTTTGGTTTTATCATTAAAGATGGTAGGTTTTATTATACTATTTTCTTTGTGTAGATTCAGGTTACTGTCTAGTGACCTATACTTTTAGCATGAAGGACTTCTTTAGTATTTTTTTTAGGGCAGTTTTACTAATGACAAATACTCTTAGATTTTAGCTAAAAGGATCTATATTTCTCCATTTCTGTTAATCTTTATCTGGATATTGAATTCTTGGTTGATAAGACTTATTTTTTCAGTATTATAATGATGGCTTCTTATTGTCTCTTGACCTCCAAGTTTTTTAACATCTCTTTGAGGATGAGTTGTACACATGGTACAGTGTTTTTCTGTTGCTGCTTTCATATTTTTCTCCTTGTCTTTAATTTTGTCAATTTGACCATATGTCTAGATGTGAATAACTTTGAATAACTCCATTTTGGAGTTTTTTTGAGCTTATTTAATGTGTTAGGTAACATTTAGTAATCAAATATGGGAAGTTTTTTGCTATTATTTCTTCAGATATTTTTTCTGCCTCTTTTTAATTTTTCTCTGGAGTTCTAATTATGCATATGTCAGTTTTCTTTATGATGTCAAACAGGTCTATGAGTTTCTGTTCTTTATTTTTTATTTTTATTTTTTTAGCTTAGCTTTCTCTGTTTCTTAGATTGGATAATCTCTATTGAGCTATGTTTGAGAGTTCTTTTTCTGCCAGATTAAATCTACTATTGATTGACTCTACTAAATACATAATGTGGATATTGTATTTTTTCCTGAAGAATTTTACATGGTTAATTTTTTTATAATTTTATCTCTTTAATGATAGTGTCTGTTTTGTAAAACATTCTTGGCATGTTTTCTTTAGACATGGTTGTCTTTAGTTTTTTGGACATGTTTATAATACCATAAAGTTTTTGTCCACTAGGTTAAAAATCTAAACCTCTTCAGAGATATTTTTTTTCTTGTGTGTATTTGGCATACTTTTTTTGTTTCTTTTCATGTCTCATAATTTTTTTTTGAACACTGGAAATTCTAACTAACATAACAACAGATTCCTCAGTTCCTCCAACCCCCACTTCTGGACATTACTGTTTTTTATTAATCGTCATCTGAGGATATCCTTATTTATTTTAGAGAAGGAAGAAGAGATAGAGGGAGTAATATCAGTTGGTTCCCTCCTGTACTCTTCTCACCTGGGATCAAACCCACAAACTTTTGGTGTATGAGATGATGCTGCAACCAATTGAACTACTCAGCTATTGCATTGTTTTTGTTTTTTGATCTCTTCACTTTTTATTAATTCTGTCTATTTGTTTATTGACTATCCAAAACTAATTCTATAGATTCTGTAGTCCCTGCAGTGTGTGGCCAATGAGTTCTTTGTTAGCTAGTAGTTTTTGTTGTTGTTAAATTCTTGTTTTCATTTTTAAGCCTAATTTCCTGTGGGTGACACTTAGATCAGTGTACTTTAGTGTTGAGCCAATGATTAGTCAGATGATTTATTTAATCAACTCACCTACATGTTTCCTATCCTATGCAACAGACTATGAAAAGAACACCTTCAAACTCCAAACAGCTCATAAAACACCCTTAACTTCCACTGCCTATATGTGTAATATGTCGATGTCAGCTTTGTTCTTTCTTATGTTTTTCTTGGGCATGCACGTAGCCTGACACATATACCAAACCTTATGGTGGACCTTTCCAAAGTTCCTTATTATTGTGTGGTTCTCCAGAATTCCCTTTTAAATTCCAGGTCAAAATACCTAACTGAAATCAGACCTGTAGATAGGGGATTTTATTTTATTTTATTTCAGTTATGATCTAGAAACTGGCTCACCTATCGTGCTGTTCTGAGGTCTATGTCAAATAAAATAGGCAAAGCACTCTAAATAGAAATTTGACAGCATTCTGAAAGTTTGAACAAAATAATGACTGTGCTCTGGGGAGAGTACTTTTAATTGAACTCCAAAAGAGGACAGCCATTGTCTTTGGCTAAGGGACTGATGGCTTTTCCTGCTATCACACCACTGAGACAGGAGAGGGGGTGTGTGGGACTAGCCCGAGTTATAATGTTACTGACCCCACTGTCTTAAATAGATTAAGAATTTTCTCTTGGATAAATAATTGTTAGTTCATTCTGTGATATTGATTAGTTTCCAGACTTCTAAAAAAATAATTGTAGATATTTTGTCTATTTTTGTGTTAGTTTTAAAGGAAAACAATTTTAAACATGTACTTTGCAGTTCTGGAAGTCAGTTGCAGCCTTGCTTCTTTAATGCCACAGACAATTTCAGTCAGCTCCCTGCCTCTTTTTATTAAGTATCTCTGTATCATAACAGGATTCAGGAGACACAGGTCAGGCTTTCATTTTGGTACCCTTGTAGCCCCTCTGAGTCAACTGAAGTCAGAGTGATTATCATGCTGTCTCTTATGGGTAGCTCAACAAATTTCCTTAAAGGGATTTACTTTCTCAGCGACTTCAGTCTCATCTCTTTTATACAGGTATTGATCAGGATGAACGAGTTTATGCTGTGGTAACACCTTGAAATTTAATATAACAGTGACTTATTTTTCACTTACACGGTTAGTTCATTTTCAGTTGACATAGAGGTGTTCTGTTTTATACAGACACTCAGGGACTCTGTAACAGAGACTTCCCCATGATGGAGCTATACCGCCTGGAACTTGCAGCATCCTTATGTTCTAGGAAAAGAAGCACATGACAGTTTCATCACTGCTTCCCCATGCTTCAGCCTAGAACTTCATGCCAGTTTCTCTCATGGCAAATTGGTTAGAGTTAGTCACATGGCTTCGCCTAGCTCAGAGGGAACTGAGCTATTTTTGCCTTCCTTATGACTCAAAAATAAGAAGAATCCACAATTGACTATGCTATACTAAAGCTGGATACTAGTTAAATGTTGTAAAATCAGGTTTAAGCCATTTCCTCTTATGCGCCTCTGTGGGTAGTCTGACATTTTTCTTTTTAAGTGTGGCTTGCTTATTATCTCTTATTGTGTTGTTAGTTTATTAGTGCCTCTGAAGAACACTCTCATTTTACTTTCCTGATACACAATGTAAAATATTGTATACTTAAACTATTTTATTAGATGCCTTTTCAAACATTGTCCCTACAACATCAAAAAAGAATCTGCACTCTGCTCAGTCCTGATCCAGGAATAGGAGCAGCATTATTTCTTTTCACCTTTTTGTTTCAGCTGGCTCAGAGAACAAGAAGTTGCACTGATGCAATCTGACAGTCTGTCTGGCAACATCTACCTAAACAAGAATTGGTTTTCAAACATTATTAGCAATCCCTTTTACATCATTTTTATAAAATTAATGTTTAGCCTTAGATCAGCTATTCTGCCCGATATAGAAAATTTAATTAAAAAAAAAACTATCCTGGCTGAAAAAGTTCTCTTGGTCACACTACACATGGGGTCTCTATCATCAATCATTCAATGATGCAATAATCAGAGAAATCTTGTATGTCTACCATATGCTAAGGAATGAGTTAGTATCTTAGTATATAGCAAGTGTTTAAAGCATACATATTATTGTCATATAATTTTAATCTATTTAAATATTATAAAATAATTATAATACAATGAATTCATTGAGTAATCCAATATCTATTATTTAATATATAGAACATTTATTAGTTGCCAGCTACTAAAATTTCAAAAGCAAATGGGACATTATGTCTGTCCTTAAGTTTTAAATATGAAAACTCTATCGATTCATTCATTTGTACTCCCAATAACAAACAAAGTTAAGTCAGGATTTAAATGTGTCACTTAAAGTTTCTAATGTAAGTCTATAGAGATTCTGTTAAGGTGTAGAAACTGTGCTTCAATATTAATTTCCTCTTATATAGCCTAAAGGTGACAGAATTCCTGAAATAGAAGAGTACGGATCTTGTAAAACCTCTGCCCAACAACTGCTTAGTGAGAGAGAATTTTAAAAATATCAGTTAAGCTCCTAAAATTTTTCTTAAGTGCATATAGAAAATAGAGAAGCATTGTTCAATACAATCTACTAAATCTTGCTAAGAACAGGGAGAGTTGCTAGCACTTGAGCTCTTATCTACTCACGTTTTCACCCTCCAGCTTGGTCCTATGGAAACTCTAACTTACATGGGTATGGCCAAGAGAATCAAGTTGGATGAACACAGAGTTCCATACCCAGGTACATCACGGTCAAAATGCCGAAAGCCAAACATAAAGATAAAACTTTAAAAGTAACAAGAGAATTTTTTTTCCATTTTAAGAATAGTTTAGTTATCTTTTGAGATTACATGTTCATTATTGCTGATCTAATACAATCACTTAGACATAAAGAATTCTAAGAACCTCTCAGAAGTGGTGATCCTTAGAGATATTATTTCCTTTCAGTAAGGTGACAATGAGAACTAGATGGTTATTTATATACCTGTATGTATGTATGTATAGTTTAAAATGTGTCCATTTATAATTTGCTGGTGTTGCCTATTTTCTTCATATAATTTTCCTTTATTAAATAAAAGGTTAATGCAACAATGCATTCTGATTTCTTTTTTAAAACCATGACAAAGTTAATTTTAAGAAAACCACAGGAGCAGCAATTTCAGATCTGTTTAGAGAAAAACCAAGCAGCAAAAAAGCTTTGCAGAAGCACGTGGTCTTACAAGTAACCTCAGTAAGAACAACAGCTGATTGATCATCAGAAAAAACAAAATGTGACATTAAGGAAACGGATGACAAATTCAAAGCACTGAAAGTAAACAAACATAAATCAATAAATGAGTAAGTAAATAAATAAACAACAATAATTTTACCCCTAAATATCCTAACTAAATATTTTCTAAATTATTTTAATATTCATAAAAGTAAAATAACATATTTTAAAATTCAATCCTAATGTCAAATGAAGTCTACATTCCTCACGTCAAAGCTCTTATACCCGAGCAGAAAAAAGTAGACAATTTTGATACTTCTCTGGCAGGGGAAATACCATGAGCATTAAAGTGGTTTTCCCAGAGCGAGGCTCATCCACCGCACTCTGGGTGTCCTGACCCCTGCGATTTCCCCACATGTAGGAAACCTGCCCGCATAATTTGCGGTAGTGGGAGACTGCGTTTGTGCCCTCCCCTTCGTGCTCTCCCCTAAAAAAATGTATTAGCACCTGGAAATCTTAAACTTTATAAAAATGTATAGATAAAGAAAGAATGATTGGGCAAATGCATACGCTGCAACATATGCTGAATTTTACCCAGCAATAAAAATTGAAAAATGTAAAACCAAACAAGAGTAGATTTGAAAGACCTTTTAAAAACAGTGCTGAGTGCGTTCTGTTTGTTTAACCACTGCCAGGTGAACCAAGGACACCAGACTCTGCACAAATTGCCCCACCATTTCTCCCACTGAAACATCTACAGATGTGCACATTTTCTACTGGCCAGCAAACATCCTCTTACATGCGTCCCTGAGTGACAGATGCATCACCCAAAAGAGAACTGTTACTGAATCTGCCAAACGTTTCTTTCACAAGATTAGATGTATCAGGGCAGGGAACTTGATCACAATGAGAAGAAACAGCTAAATTGCAATTTCAGTGCCTTACTGTGGAAGAAGAGCCTGCAGCCTCTAGCATCTTGTTTTATTTATTTTTTTCTTAATGAGAAAGCACCTCTTAAAGTTTTCATCCACCATCCACAAATGCAGGCTGATAGATTAGCTAGGAATGGGAAGGTGGGGGTCATTTTAATAAGTCAGGGTTCAATTATGTAAGGATTTCCTTGAAGGTACTTGCACGGTGTGTATGTATGTGTATGCATGTGTGCAGAGGGAAGGGTGTTGTACCATTTTTTTGCCTGCTTCTCTGAGGCTAATTTTATGTCTTTAATACAAAAGAAAAATCAGGTAATATTTCACTAGGGTAGAATTGATTCTAGACAGTTGAGTGCTTTCATTCAAATTAAATACTTTCTTATCCTGGGGGAAACATCTGTCATTTGGCTGAACTGAATAAAATGACAGGGTGTTCGATGGAAGTAAGGTCTCCAGGAATTCTTTAGTTTTTTTCCAACGTTGTATAGCCAAAGTTCTTCCTTTTATCCTGGCAGTCTCAGAGAATGAAGAGAAGAGCTCATTTGGCCTTTTACAAATAAATATACACCATAGTATCTCTCTAATAAATATAAAAAGCAAAGTTTGTGTCCTTTCCATTGTAGCACAGATTAACATTATAGCAAAGACTTTTCCTGAGTTACCAAATCTATTCCACTTAATATCTTGTATCTAGGTCCTTTCTTTTTTCTTTTCCTTCAACTCTCTGACAAAAGATTTTATTTCTGAACCCATAAGTTTATATTGCACATTGAAACACTGCTATATTTCAGGCTGTTAATTTTCCATAGTAGACCAAGCCTCTTCTTAAAATATATTCATAAAAAAGGAACATCAAATAATTACTTTTTCCATATGCAGTTTGGTGGATATTATATGCTCTTTTATATATTGTTACTGCAAGGACTATGCTTTTATTCTTTTAATATTTTATCTCCACCATTTTAGATAGCTTTGCTTTATTTTACATATTTACTTACCGTGTGTGTGTGATTCTGCTTCTATGTGGAATCCAAAGGACAAAAATAAACAAACAAAACAGATACAGACTCATAGAGAACAAATTGATGGCTGGCTGCCCGATGGGAAGGGGGTTGAGGGACTGGGTGAAAAATAAAAAAGGGTTAAGAAACACAAACCGGAAGTCACAAAAAAGTCGGCAGGGGGGTGGGGTGTAAAGCACAGCACAGGGATCGCAGTCAACAACACTGTGTTGCCAGATGGCACTAGGCCCGCTGGGGGATCACTTTGTAAGTTACATCAATGTTCAACTACTATGCTAACACACCTCAAACCAATATAACATTGAATATCAACTGTAATATAAAAGAATTTTTAAAATTTAAAATAATAATGATGGTATATTGAGGGCTTCATAACAAATGCACAACAATAATAGCCTTAGACTAGAAGGAGACACAGAAATGTGTATTGTAAGGTTCTTGTGTTACCAGAGAGACCCTGGTTCTTGTCGCTGACATAGTAAAGAATTACAGGTCAGCTAGCCTATTAACATGTAAGCACAGTTTATCAGTGAAGGAGAGAGCAAAAGCAAGGCGGTAAGAGTAGGGGTGGCAAAAGTAGGGTGGCCAGAGGCCTGGGTAGCCAAAAAGGGGTGGACAGGGTCCTGGTGCCCAGAGACCCCCTTGCCAGAGGCTGAGTGGACAAGGGCCTCCCTGCAATGTGGCAAGAAAGTCAAGAGAAGAGGACAAGAGAGAGTCTTTTGTCCTGAGGAGGTATACAGTTGGTGGGGTGAGGGTGAAGAAGTTCCATTTTGATTGGCAGGCAAAGGTGTTGCTATCTTCTCCTGTGGGCACAGGAATACCCAAATGCAGGTATGTGTGGGAGTCTATTAACCTGAATCCTTATCTTGCCCTATACTCTATTTATTCATTTTGCATACATGACAGGGAGCAGACAATTAACCAAAGTTGTTTTATGAGCTTTTTCTCTGGGCACTGTAGACCCCTCCCCTCCCCCCTTTCAGGTTTTGAGATGAATGCAGTCTCAACGTTTTCCTTTTCCCAGCTAGTGGAGGTGATATACACAGACTTTCAACGGCTTCCCCCTCCACCCTGCGCTGCCATAGTTTAGTTATTTGGGAGGCCTGGCAGCCTTTTCCGACCAGGGTCAGGACTACTAGGTCAAGAGTGAGGCAAGTCTGTTGCTTTTAGCCCCCTGCATTAAGTTCTTTGTTAGATTGCAAAGGCCAGGGCCTTGCCTTTCTTTCCCATCAGGACACCCATTCCTAGCTACTATTTAAGTGTTAACAGGTGTTGCCTGGCAACCAGGATGCTAGCCCCTGGTTTGGGATGCAACCATAGAGTAGTCGCAGGGTTCATCCTGTGCTATCTCCTGCACACTAGTACTGTACGCAGAGTGCTAGGACATCACGTGAAAGTTGACCATGGCAGATTACATCTGTACTATAATCCTTATTGTAGCTAACAAACTAGATAGCAAAGCAAAGGTTTTATTAAGATAACAATAAATCTATAAGGAAATAGAATAATTTAAAAAACTTGATTATTCCAAAGAAACACAGAAAAAAATGGGAAACAGGTAAACTGGAGTGAATAGAAAATTAAAAACAAGAAATTGAAGGCATTTTTGTACACCAGCAATGAAATATCAGAAGAAGAATTCAGGGGAAAAAATCCCATTTGCTATAGCAACAAAAAAAATAAAGTACCTAGGAATAAATTTAACCAAGGAGGAAAAAGACCTATATGCAGAAAACTATACAACACTGAAGAGAGAAATTAAGGAAGACACAAATAAATGGAAGCATATGCCTTGTTCATGGATTGGAAGAATTAACATCATCAAAATGTCCATACCCAAAGCAATTTATAGATTCAACATAATCCCTATTAAAATACCAATGACATATTTCACAGACATAGAACAGACATTTCAAAATTTATATGGAAAGATAAACAACCCTAATAGTCTCAGCAATTTTAAGAAAGAAAAACCAAGCAGGAGGGATCACAATACCCGACATATATCTATATTACAAGGCCACTGTAATCAAAACAGTCTGGTACTGCCACAAGAACAGACACATAGATCAGTGGAACAGAATAGAAAGCCCAGAAATAAGCCCATGTCTATATGGTTAATTAATATTTGACAAAGTGGGCAGAAGCATAAATTGGAGTAAAAATATCATCTTCAACAAATGGTGTTGGGAGAGCTGGACGGCTACATGCAAAAAATTGAAATTCGACCACCAACTGACACCATACACAAAAATAAACTCAAGATGGATAAAAGACTTAAATATAAGTCGCAACACCATAAAAGTCCTCGAGGAGAACACTGGCAGGAAACTCTCAGATATCCCACACAGCAATATTTTCACTGATATGTCTCCTAAAGCAAGGGATATAAAGGAAAGAATAAACAAGTGGGACCTCATCAAAATAAGAAGCTTCTGCATAGCTAAAGAAAACATAAGCAAAATGAAAAGGGAACCAACCATATGGGAAAATATATTTGCCAATGATACATCAGATAGAGGTTTGATGTCCAAAATATATGAAGAACTCACACAACTCCACTCAAAGAAGACAAACAATCCTATTAAAAAATGGGCAATGAACCTGGGCATGCACCTCTCCAAGGAAGAAATACAGAGGGCCCACAGACATATGAAACGATGCTCAGCATCACTAGCCATCAGGCAAATGCAAATTAAAAGCACAATGAGATACCACTTCACTCTGGTCAGAATGGCCATCATAAACAGATCAACAAACAACTTGTGCTGGTGAGGTTGTGAAGAAAAGGGAACCCTAGTCCACTGTTGGTGGAAATGCAGACTGGTGCAGCCACTGTGGAAAACAGTTTGAAATTTCCTCAAAAAACTAAAAATGGAACTACTTTTTGACCCAGTGATTCCACTGCTGGGATTTTACCCTCAGAATCCCAAAACACAAATTCAAAAGAACCTATGCACCCCAATGTTCATAGCAGCACAATTTACAATAGCCAAGTGCTGCAAGCAACCTAAGTGCCTATCAACAAATGTGTGGATCAGAAACCTAATGTACATTTACACAATGGAATACTAGGCAGCAGAAAGAAAGAAAGAGCTACTACCCTTCACAACAGCATGGGTGGAACTGGAGAGCATTATGCTAAGAGAAATGAGCCAGATGGTGAAAAATACCCTCTGATCTCACCTATTAGTGGAACCTAACCAACAAAACAAACAAGCAAGGAAAATATAACCAGCGATATTGAAATAAAAAAGAAACCAACAGAATCAAGAGGAAGGGGGACAGGGAAAGGGAAGGGAAGGGAAGGGTCAAGACAAGAAACATGTATAAAACACCCATGGACAAAGCCAAAGTGAGAAAGGATTGAGGAAGGGAGTTGAGTGAGAGAGTTGGGGGAGGGGGCAGAGGGAAAGTGGTTGTGGGAAGATGGAGACAAATGTATCTGAACAATAAAAAAAGAAAATTTAAAACATCCATATGTTAGACTCAAACTTTATTAAAATCGCATTAAATGTTTCA